TTTTTTTTTTTTTTTTTGTTGTTGTTGTTGTTGTTGTTGTTTGTTTGTTTTGCATCAAGGACTATAGCTGAAAAAGAGGGAGGTTATAAGCATCAATTATGCTGATAATATGCCTAATGAGCTCATCTTTGATAGCTTAGGCCATTAAGAGCTTAATCTTTGGGTGTGACACTGCTGTTAAGGCTAGAAGGAACTTTTCCAGCCAGAGATACTTGGCCTTTTAGATGTCACACACCCTCCAGCTTGAAATCATCACTGTGTTCTTGTTATGTGAGTGGGCTGGTTGCTTAGAAGTGGAGTATCCATTTTTTTCATCTTCTTGGAGTCATCAACTTTGATTATATTTGAAGTATTTTATATGGTTCAGGAGTTATGTAGGTATGTGAAAATCATCAACCAAAAATGCCTTTGGCCTGATGATTCCACTGAACAGTTTGAAAATGGCATCTACCTGAACTCTGAAGATGAATACCCTATAGGCAAGGAGAAAGGATCCCAGTTTTATTACTGATGTAAAAGCTTGTGATTTGACTTGTCATGATTTTTGAATGCTTGGAGTTATCATTATTCTATTTTAAAAATTAATTTTTTCCTATTGTCGGGACGTGAAGCAAATCCAATTTTAACACATTTTCTAATTTACAAGGCCACTTTTATAATATTTATATAATCCTAAAATAAAGATTTCTTACGTTGAATATTGCCAGAGACATAGATTACTCCCAATTCTCATAAAGAATCACCTTTTTTCCAAAGGACTTATTTTAATATTAATATGCTTAGTATTATGGAAGCACCCAGAGGCCTCAGCCAGAATCTAGGACTTGGAGAGCTATAAAAATAGCTGTAAAGACATGGTACCACACATCAGACAAAATCTGTTCTGCCCTTTGCAGATGAGACATATCCCATCTGGCTCTCCATAAAGGGGACAAGCGTACATGTTTCAAACTAAAAGAAGAAAGGCAAGAGGCTTCTAGTGTGAAAGAAAAACCTGTTAAAAATGTCAAAAATCAAATGGGGAGAGGCAACAGCCAAAACTGCATCTTTCCTCATTTCCCAACATTCTGCAGGAGATACATCTATACAATGCAGTGGTGTATGCATGCACAAGAGCGTAGTTAACTGTCACAGAATCATAGACTCACAGAACTGTTAAGGCTGGAAAAGACCTCTCAGATCACCCAGTCTAACCACCAGCCCACCCTCACCATGCCCATTGACCACGTCGCTCAGTGTTTGCCACATCCACATGGTTCTGGAACACCTCCAGGGAGGGTGACTGCATCCCCTTCCTGGGCAGCCTGTGCCAGGGCCTGATTATTCTTTCTGAGAATAAATGTTTCCTAACATCCAACCTGAATTATGGACAGGCAGTTTTCAAATCCCATTCCTTACTTCTGCACTCCCAGAGAGGGAAGATTTGAGTTGCTAAGTGTGCAAGTTCCATGTGTGAATTAACAAGAGAGATGCTGAGTGTTGCAGCACAGGACTGCTATGCTATTTTCATGCTATGCTGAAAAATTGCAACTTTTGTTATGCTGCAACTTTTCAGCATAATGGTATGATACAGAAGCAATAGAAATGCTATGTGGACCTATCACGCCTCTCACTTTTTGCATGTGTGTTTTTCCCACCTACTGCTCCCTGAGGGCACCTGCATTCCACATCGTGCATGCTGGGTGTTGCAAACTTTCCTGCTCCACCACACCACCTGTCTGACCAGCTGTTCAGCCTGATCTGTGACTTGACATTCACAAGCAGGATGGGTCTGACATCAGAGTGCTGAGTGGAAGGAGTCTGTAGCATCCTGTTTTTTTTTTTTAACTTTTTATTCGTGCCTCAAAAGGTGCCACAGCCTTTCTTCCACCAGCTGGACTGCCACATTTGTTCTGTGACCCTGACTGCATGCACGTTGCTGGCAGATG